GTGGTACAGCACATGTTTGTATGTCCAAGCCTCAGGTTCAATCTCCACCACCAAAAATAAAAAATAAAAAGGACTAGAAGAAACTGTGCTAAAATGGACTGCCTCTGAATGGAACGTAACAGTATGGTTTTGCCTACTTCTTCATACTTAATTGTCCTTGCCACAAGTGCCTGCCTGGCAAGCACAAGGTCCTGAGTTCAATTCCCAGTACCAACAACAAACAAACCAACAAAAAATAAAAACCCCTACCTAGGCTTCCATTTCCAGCACACCCCCAAACAAAGAAAAAACTTCAAAGGAAAAGGGGCCAGACTGAGTGCTTTAAATTTTCTCATCCCCACAACTAACGATCCTGTTTATTTGTTTGTTTGTTTGAGACAGGGTCTCCCATGTTGCCCAGGTTGGCCTCGAACTCACAGTGATCGTCCTGGCTCAGCCTCAGTGTGGGACTACAGGTGTGTGCCACCACATCAACTGAGCGATCCCATTTTAGAAATTAAATTAGATAATAAATAGGCCCTGCCTCTTGAAAAGTACCTTCCTAGATACCTACCCCGTCCAAAAAAAAGTTTTCAGAAGGACTCTGTGCTTTGGAACTATATGGATGCTGACACCTCCTTAATGCTGCAGGTAAAGATAAGGACAATCCCAAACGTCATAGCATAGACAGGTGCCAAGGGGAGAGGTGAGAGCGCATAATGTGTTGTCAAGATAGGACTATCTTTTCCCCTCTGACTTTCAACTCCCTCCAGCGGAAGCTTGGAAACCTTACCTATCTTTCCGTCCTGAATTTAACGAGGAGTTTTCTTACAAACACGCTAAGAGGAATTTCCTCCCCAGTCTAGCAGGTGCCAAATGAGTGCGCTTGAAAGAATGAAGACATTTCCAAAAGAAACCTAATCGCGGCTGAAGGGCACTTGTATCTCTTTTAAGGAACTGAACTACAATGACTCCGGGTCGGTTCTGCACGGCTGTTGGGATCAAGGTCAAAACAGCGCAAGATACTAAGATCGCTGTATTTCTGTGAGCTCTGAGGATGTACTGAGCCACCCGTCCCCTGCAAACGCTGAGAAGCGGTCCGCTGATCTGCTGAACGCGGCGCTCGCTCCCCGCCCCGCCGCAGCTCCGCCAGCCGGGACTGATCCCGAATCTTTCCCGTCACCTACAACTGCAGGAGACCCCGGCGGCGCGACGCGGCCCCCGGGACGGCTTCTCGCCCAGCCCAGGCCTCCCCTAAGAGCCCACCCAAAGGCAAGGCTTCTCCCCGCTCCGGGCGCTCCCCCGGCAACCCAGGACGCTGAGCCCTGCCACGGTCCAGACACCTGCTCGGGAAGCAGCTTCTCCGCAGACGCGCCGAGGAACAGACCGCGCCCCGGGACAAGCCCCACTTTCCAAAATATACCCCCTCGGCACCCGCCCCCTTGGCAGATGGTGCCCGGGTGGTACCTGAGCCACAGAACAGGCAGCCGGAGAGGACCAAGAGCAGCCGCATTATGCCACTGCCACCGCCTCCCCAGCGCCACAGCGCGGAACCAACTGCCGCCGACACCGCCACTTTAATTCCTCCCGCCATAGTTGCCTCACACCGCCTCCTCCTCACGTGCCTCTCCCCGGCAACTAACCTCAGACAGGCGGCGGCAACAGCCAATCCGCTACAAGATCAGTACCCACCAGCCAACTGTTCGGCCCGTAGTTCGTTCCTCCCTATAAGTCCCACCCCTTAGCAACTGATGAAGGAAGGCGGGAGAAGCAGCTTGTAGCCAATTAAAAAACGGGTTCTCACCGCGCTCTGGCAATGGCGACAGGAAGATCCCACCCCATGACAACATGCTTCCGTCCCAAGGTTAATTTACAAGCACGATTGATAGTAAGGTTAACCAATAGAAAATCAGACTAGGCGAGGCCTCCTGGACTAAAGTTGGTATTTCCACCGAAACTGTCAAACTCCGTGTGCTTTGTTTCCTTTTCACCGTATCTCCTGTAATAGGTGCCCTATCATTAATATCTTTTCATGAATAGGGCCCTGACGTGACAATTTTTATTTAAACCACCGACAAAGTGTGGTGCTCCAAAGTCCTAAATGATTCAAAACAGAAGTCACTAAAAATGTTGTGCATTGTCAGGGATCTATAGGCATACATACGAGTTTTAAAACGTAGTCACAGGGGCTGGGGATTTAGCTCAGTGGCACAGCGCCCGCCTGGCAAGCGCAAGGTCGTGAGTTCGATTCCCGGTACCGGAAAAAAACAAAAACAAACCAAAAAAAACCCCAAAATAAAAAAAATGTCATAAAGCCGGAACACTGACACAGGTTTGTAATCCTAACGGTCTGGGAAGCTGAGGCAAGAAGATGGCAACTTCCAACCCACCATGGGCAACATGGAGACCCTGTCTCAAAATAAAAAATAAAAGAGGACTGGGGATGTAGCTCCATGTGAAGGCCCTAGGACCAATTCCCCAATACTGGGGGTTATAAAAATAAAAAAAAAAGAGGAAGGACGGGAGAGAGGGGTAGGGAAGAGTTACTCGGGAGGAGGACACAAGAGAATTGAAAGAAAAAGGCCAGTCTGGGCAATGCAGTGGGATCTTGTCCCAAAATTAAAAGGGCTGAGGGTATAGCTCGATAGTAAGTGTCTGCCTAGCATTGTAGTGTGAGGCCCTAGGTTCAATACCTAGCACTGGGGAGGCGGGGCACACCCACACACACTGGGAGTTGAATCCGGGGCCTTTATTTATTTTTTATTTTGAGAAGGGGTCTCCCCAAATCCCAGAGTGCTGGGATTACAGGCAGGCAACACTAAGCCTGACAAGGGTTTCTTTATTATCTTCATTTAAAAAGCCAAGGCTAAAACAGACAAAGGAACCAGCAACAAGATTGCTCATTTAGTTCTTCTGTGCTGCGTTCCCAGCCCAAATCTTATCACAAAGCCTGAGTTCTTTCTATGTATCAGACTGCTTCCCAATTAAATGACGTAACACTGGGAGGATCTAGCAGAATGTTTGTAACACTGCTAGTAGGCATTGAATTATCTCCCCCTACACACACACATACACACACACACACACACACACACACACACACACACAATCTGATGGTACTGAGTAGAAAGGTAGGAACAAAGAATCTAAGTGAGTTAAAAAGAAATCCAGGGATAGAAAACTCCTGGGGAAGGCTCAAACTTTCTTTGTTTGTTTGTTTATTTTTTATTGAAACAAGGTATCACTATGTAGTTCAGGCTGACCTGAAACTCCTGGTGATCCTCCTGCCTCAGCCTCCCAAGTGCTGGGATTACAGGCATGCACCACCAGGCCAAGTAAATTCAAACTTTTCAAAACAAGGAATTTTTAGAGCTGGCTGTGGTGGCACAAACCCGTAATTTCAACACTCCAGAGGCTAAGGCAGGAGGATCACACTGAGTTCACCTGAGCTACAAGATCCTCTCTCAAAGAAAAAAAAAGGGGGGATAAAAAACAAAAAAATGATTTTGTAAAAGTCAAAACAGGCCAGGTGTGGTGGCACACACCTGTAATCCCAGCCCTCGAGGGGCTGAGGCAGGAGGATCCTTCTGAGTTGAAGACCAGCCTGAGCTACAAAGTGAGCTCAAGGCCAGCCTGAACTGCATAGCAAGGCCCTGTCTCTAAATAAATAAATAAGTAAATGTAATAGGGTAGGTGGGTGGGATCCTAGAACAGGAAGGAAAAAAAACAGGTAAAGATAACTAAAGAAATCTGAACAAACCATATACTTTTGTACGGTTCGTGGTTATTAATGGTAGCAAACGTGCCATACTCATGTAAGATAATAATAGGGGAAATTGTATGTGGGATATATAGGAACTTTATATTATCTTCTCAATGTTTCTAAAAAGTAAAGTGTAGGTCAAGCGTGGTGGCGCACACCTGTAATCCCAGCACGCAGGAGGCTAGGGCAGGAGGATTGTTGCAAGTTTGAGACCAGCCTGGGCTACAAAGTGAGCTCAAGGCCAGCCTGAACTGCACAGTGAGACCCTGTCTCAAAAAGACAAAAAAAAAAGTAAAGTCTAGTTATAGATACATATATATGTATATTATATGGATGCATATAACATATACACATATATAAATATATACACTTTTTCTTTGAGGCCCCATTCTTACCTTTCAAAGCTAATTTCAGGTATGGGAACTCCTTCCAAAAGATCACTGACCCCTGACTATTAAATGAGGTATACAGTAATGAAACTAGGCATCCGTAAATACATCACATCTACTGCCTAAATGAATGCTATCACTTTAACATAGTAATTCAAGAAGCTTTTAGTCTTGTTTTAATAACGAGGGCACTGCTCAAAACACTTTGAGAATCACCTTCAGAGTGCACACAGCACACACTGCAATGAATATTCATTATCTGCAGGTGGATCTGATTTATGCAAATAGCCAAAAGAACTCAGGCCAAGGCTGATGATTAAAGAGGCTAGAAATCTGGATGGTAAATGTGTTTCAGAATTTTTTTGAATTTTAGAAAGATAATATGGTACACATATACTATATAAAGCAACAATCCCAATAGCAGCTAGGACAACACCTAGTAACCAAATTAATATATTCTTTTGTAATATTTCTGTAAGCTGGGCATGTGGTGCATGCCTGTAATCCCAGCACTCAGGAGGCTGAGGCACGAAGACCACTGTAAGTTCAAGACCACCCTGGGCTACAAAGTGAGAGAAAGGCCAGCCTGTACTGCACAGCGAGACCCTGTCCCAAAAAGACAAAAAAAAAAAAAAAAAATTCTGTAATGATGTATATGAGTAATAGTATCAAGGTAAGTGAAAGAAGCTGGACATGGTGGCGCATGTCTGTAATCCCAGCACTCAGGAGACTGAGGCAGGAGGATCACCTTGAGTTCAAGGCCAGTTTGGGCTACATAGTGAGTTCAAAGCTAGCCTGAATTACATAGTGAGACCCTGTCTCAATTTAAAAAAAGTGAAAGAGATAAATGAAAATTATAAATAACTGTATATAAGTTTAGGTCAGGTTTTCTGCCACAAAATGGGTCTAAGTAAGATAAGGTTGTGGTTTGGTTTTGTTTCTTTCCAGTGCAAGAGACTGAACCCAGGGCTTTGCATATGCTAGCAAATACCACTGAGCTCTGTCCCCAGGCCAGAACAGGTTTGTTGCCAAATAAGTTATGAAAAAGTATTGGTTTTCATAATTTTTGAATTTAAGAAGCGTAAAGAGGGGCTGAGGATGTGGCTCAGTGGTACAGCTTTTGCCTTCCATGCACAAGGCCCTGGATTCAACACCAGCACCACAAAAAAAAGAGAAGGAGGAGGAAGAGGGGGAGGGGAGGAGGAGGAAAAAAGGAGAAGCAGGAGGAGGAGAAGAAGAAAGAACTGCAGACTATTACTTAGACCTGGTGGCATACACCTGTAATCCCAACACTTTGGAGGCTGAGGCAGGAGTATCTCCATAAATTCGAGGTCAACCTGGGCTACAGAGAGTCCAAGGGTAACCTGAATTACACAGTTGAGACCTTGTCTCAAAAAAAAAAAACAAAAACAAACAAACAAAAAAAATGAACGGCAGACTGTGAATATCTGAAGAAGACAATTTAGCCAACCAATCACCAAAGTCCACTTCATTTTTCTATCTTTTAAATCTATTCTTTCTTCTGCATCCCACACCACTGACTTTGCCCAGCACCAAGCTGGGAAGTTTTGAAGTCTTTTAACTTCCTTCATCTGGCCTCCTGCTCTTTATGCAGCCTATAAATCCTTCCTTCACTCTCCTCCTAAATGCAGATCTGACCCTGTCACCCCCACGTTAGTCTTTATGGTTCTAAGAGTACCTCTACACTATCAAGCTCAGGGTTTTTAGTATTATCTAAAACTTAGATATAAAGAAACATTGTAGTGGAGGGTAGAGACCCACACCTGTAATCCCAGCACTTGGGAGACAGAGGCAGGAGGATCCAGACCACCCGGAACTGCATAGCGAGAACTTGTCTCAAAAAGACCAAAAAAAAAAAAGAAAGAAAAAAAGAAAAGAAAAGAAAAGAAAAGAAAAGAAAAGAAACAGTGTAACAATGCTATTGAAAGATTAATACTATTTCATACTTTGTGTGATACTAATCTTCCATAAAACAATTCCCAAAATGAGGTGTATAAGCATTTAGAAAATTTAATACCAATTTTAGAGAAATTTTATATTTACTAACCTAGTAAGATAGTTTATTTCACTTCATTTTTCAGATTCACTTTTAGTGGGTTGTTTTTGTTTTTGTTTTTGTTTTTGTTTTTGGTACAGGGAATCGAACACACGACCTTGCACTTGCCAGGCAGGTGCTGTGCCACTGAGCCATATCCCGTCCCCTTAGTGTATTTCAAAACAATACTGAACAATAATGTTCTGCATTTTTTTTCAGATAGGGTCTTGCTTTGTAGTTCAGGTTGGTCTCAAAGTCATGGCAATCTTCTTGCCTCAACTTCCTAAGTGTTGAGATTAAAGGTATACATTACCACGGCAGGCTGGATTTTTTTTTTTTTTAATGGGCCTGGTCCTTCACCACAATTAACGTAACAGCCCTGTACATCTCCAGGGGTCATTTCTGTCCACCACCACTCACCCACCAACCAGCAACAATGAAGTGTTTCCAGTTCTGTATCCCCATGCAAGTTTACATTCGGGTCACCCTGACTTTCCTTCCTCTCTTCCCAGAAATCTTCTATTCACACTTTAAAACTCTGAGCTTTCTCATCACCTCCCTTAGACGCTTGTCTAAACCAGCCCCTTACAACCACAAGCAGAACAGATCACTCAAGCCTCTTTACTTCTGTTGTTTGTGCGCCTGTTATTGCATTATGTTGAAACTGTTTATATGGCTATCTCCCCTACTCATCTGTGAGTTCCTTATACAGAGGTTAGGATTGTCTTTGCTCAGTGGAGCAGCTTTTATAAAATAAATTGAAGAGCAATTAAAATACTCGAACATTCAGTCTTTTTACCCAATAAATTACTAGAAGAGGTGAGGACAGGAGGAATATATATATATTTTATATATATAATATATACATATGTTCCTATTTTTCTATTACCAGTAAGGATTACAGCCTTCTACCTTTAATACTTGGGTGTGAATTAATTTACAAGATTAGTAGATGGTTCAGAATGCCAACCAGCCGGGCGTGGTGGTGCTCACCTGTAATCCCAGCACTTGGAAGGCTGAGGCAGGACGATCGATGGTTGCAAGTTCGAGACCAGTCTGGGCTACAAAAAAGAAAAACAGAATGCCAACGAGCCAAGAGTTATGGGCTCCCTGGAAACAAAAAGAAAAAGAGACATGGAGAACAAATATCTTCACTTAAACAGTTTCGTCCAGGCTCAGCCTCTTTTAGAGTAAAATCTGTACTTACTGCCCTCTTCAAGGTTTCTCTGTCTTGTAAACAGCACCCTCCTTTCCTTCTTTTCAGAGGACCCCCAGGTATCAGGCCTACTGTGGAGCGGTCCTGAGCTAAGGGTGGAACAAACAACTGAATTGCAGTGGTGTACAGACACACACACACACACACACACACACACACACACACCCAGGCCACAGAGAGCTGGCCTGGTGGACAGGAAGGGGTCTGGGAAGGACCGGGCCCAGGAAGGTGAGTTTGAGCCGAACCTTGCTGAGGGGGCCGCATTTGGCAAAGTGGGAACACGTAGGGAAGATGAGCAAAGCAAGCTGCTAGATGAAAATCTACACGTGCCCGGGAACAAGCCTTCTGGTTTGCACATCTTCGCTCCTCTTCCACCCACCTTCTTCCCTTTCTTCCCAAGCTTTCCCCCGCTTTTCCTGGAGAACGAGGACCAAGGAGAATTTCCCTTCCTGGAAGAGACCAGTATAGACAATACAGGGCATATTAAACTCTCATTAAGTGAGATCAGTGGATCAGCTCTGCATGCCTGGGACGGGGGTGAGGCTGTGGTCCTGAGTGAGAATGATGCGCAGAACAAGAAATGAACATTTTTCTATTTGTCCCCAATCCATTTTTTTGTCACACACCTCCCCCCACACACCTGTCTCCCATCTTTTTTGTTTTTCTATAGTTTCTCTCGCGGTCTCAGTCTCTCTCCCTTGCTTTAGACTGGAAATTCCTTGTTCTCAACGGAAGGGAGTAGGAGGGGAGGCGGGGGAGGTAGGAGTGGGTGGAAGCGAAGAACAGACATCTCAGCAGCTCCGGCTGCGGGCTGCGGGGGCGCTCCGGGCCTCTGGCGGGCCTGACAAGTCAATGATTTTTTAAATGTATATATTTTTAAATCCACACATAGGGCCCCGATACAAACCTAGAGAACCAGAGACACATATATACAAGAAGATGTGAGGAAACATAAACACAGCAGCGGAGGGTACGGTGAACCGCGTCTGAAACTTGCCTAGCATTCTACAATGTGCAGTCTTCACTTGCACGCCATGTATTTGAACCTTACGCTGATCTAGAGAAACAAACGTAGAAACACCGGGTACTTTCGCTCTCAGCACAAGTTCGCACTCGGATCCCCACTGACTCCCCTAGGCGCGTGGCCAGCCCCTTCCGCGGGGTTTTTCTTTCCTCCTTCCTCTCTCTGGTCAAGCACCCGCCCCAGGACCCGGGAGTGGAGGCCTCAGCATCGGCTCCGCCCGGGTCCTCTTTCCTGACCGGAACCCAGGCGCCCAGCGCCCACCGGGCAGCCTCCGCCTAGCTTCACGCCCCACTCCACCCCCTCCTCGGGCCGGCATCTCCCTCCAGATCCCAGGACTCAACGCCGCCCCTAGCCGGGTTGGTGGGAGGGAGGGGGGCGCCTGGAGCAGAGGCTGCGTGGGCGGAGGATGTGCGTCACGGGGAGCGTGGGCATGGGCAGGGCGGGGGCACGTGGAAACCCAGGGCCAGCGGCTGGCAGCCCCTGCTCCAAAATAACCGGCGCGGGAGTGGGGGAGGGGCACTGTCCCCTCCCCCTGGCTCTCCTAGGGGGTCTGGCCGCACCCTCTCTTGCAGGACCACGATCGAGAGAAAGACTCTGCTGATTTCTGCCACCCCCATCCTGTTTGGTGTTTAATGGGATAGAGACAAGAATCTGAGCTGCTGAAATACCTCCACCAACAACGCACCCTCTCCCCTGCCCCCACCGGAGACGAAAGGTCCCCTTGCCAAGCCGGAATGTAGAACCAGCCCCGGCCCACGCCGCCCGCGCCAGCCCTGCCCGCCACTCAGCAGTGCGGACCGGCGGGGCGGGCCTGAGGTTTCGGATGAGGGGACCCTCGCCCATGGCCAATTCGCTCGCTTCCCGCGGCCGCCTCCTTCCCCCAGGCCTAGAGCCCCCGCCTCCCCCTGCAGCCCTCTCAGCGTGGGCGGCAGTGTAATGGGAACCAGATGGGGCCAGGGCGGGGCGGTGGGTGCGGAGGGGGCTAGGCTCCTGAAAACGCTCCGCCCTCCGGCTTTTCCTTACGGAGTCACGTCGGACCTTCGGGCCTTCTCACCCGCCCTGCACACTCTGGCAAGATCCCCCACAGCCGACCGCAGAAGGGTCACCTTATCCCAGCTTTGCCATCGAGCAGAACCCCATCCTCAGGAAATAAGGGCGCGAGGAAGGCAGGATGTCTCCATCTCTGCCTGACCCTTGGGAACAAAACCCCACGCGCAATCAGCGCGCACCTAAAAGGTGGCTTCCAGCACAACCGCCCCGTCCCTACTCCCCAAAAGTTGGGCGACGACTCCAGGCAGGGATGAGGAGGCCTGGGTTTCTAAGAGCAGCTTCCTCAGGTATCTCGTTTTGAGGCTGACGAAGGGCGACAGGATCTCGAAGGATTTGTGCAGGGCCCCAAGCTCACGGGTTTGCCACAAGTTCACACACCCGGCAGTCAGTTGCGCGCACAGGAGCAGCGCGCCCCGGGCTTCCTAACTTTTCCCGGCTCACTCCTAACATTCGTAGAACAGCTCGGCGAGGCCGGCGTGTGGGCAGCCGGCGACCGCGTAGTTGTTTAGACGCGCGTGCACGTAGTGCGCCTCTCTGTCTTTGTGTACCTGTGCGTGGTTGTGAAACTGCGCTCTCAGCTCGGGAGTAGGGGCGGTGGGGGAAGTAGGAATGTGGCCGGCGGGGCGCTCACGTGGGTACGTGGGCGCGGAGAGGGCCGGCTGTGCATCCGGCGTGGGCGGCACAGAGCGACCTCGCCCCGCCTGCTGGGTCCCCAAGCTCGCCATCCACAGTCTGGACTCGGTCACCTTGGTCCCTAACTCGGCGCCCCGACCCCGGTCTCCGCCCCCGCCCACGGCACCCCCCCCCACGTCTCGTCCTCTC